TGAAACCGGAGGGAGTATATGAATATGTAAACGTTGATTGGTTCCCATTTCCCAAAGGAAGTGTAATTAAAGAACCTCGGATGCTAATCCAACAGCCGGCCAGCAAAAATCTCACGCTCTGCCCCCCTGCAGGCTACCAGGAAATGGCGCGTACGAATGAAGGTTGTGCCGACATTGGAGACTAATCCTACCGTACATATTAAAAGGGATTCTAGATTGAATTTTGAGAGTAGTTAGCTAGTGCAGCCCATATCCATTCCAGGAGGAGCACATTGATTACTGCATCATCCACGTAGGAAATTCTGCTATATATACATGGATGGGCCGGGATTAATATTAACCAATCCAATCTGCTAGGTGCACATATGTACGAACATGTACAGTCACTAGTACACAAAACCCCTTAGGTGCCGATTGGGAACCGCTAATAGGGACCGGCTTCCCAACCGGCACCAATTTGGTAGCACCTAACCTCCCAGACATCAAAACCGACACCTATATAGATTATAGATGTTGGTTCTTAACTCACAACCGACACATATCACTGGTGGAGAAATGCTTTTTAGTCCCGGTTCGTAACCCCCCTTAGTCCCGGTTTTCTAACCGGGACTACGAATCCGGGACTAAAGATCGCTATCTTTAATCCCGGTTCAAATAACCAGGACTAAAAATCAATCTTTAGTTGTTGGTAACAACAATCGGGACTAAAGATGGGAGACTTTAGTCCCGGTTGTTGTTACCAACCGGGACTAAAGATATTTTTTCTTTTTTATCTCTTTTTCATTGTTTTAGTATTGAATATTGATTTCACACCATCCCCTAATCATGCCAAGAAATCCCAAATCCAAATTCTCACATATCACAGAACATCTCCAAATCTTCAAATAGATCATCTCCAAATACATCACAAACTCTTAAAAAATTACATCACGAGTTCTACAAAATATATCACAGATTCCCATCACACACAAATCAAATACATCACAGGATAAATCATAAATTGTAAAAAAAAAAGAAAGAAAAGCCGACCGGCCGGCCACTGCCGCCTCCCCTCCTCCCCTCCGCACCGGCTGGCCGCCGCCGAGTGGCCCCACGCGCCAACGCACCGGCCGCCGCCGAGCGGCCCCTGCCCGCCGCCGCCGCGAGGCTCCCCGCGCCTCCGCGCCGGCCACCGCCACGCGGGCCCCCGCGCCTCCTCGCCGGCCGCCATCTGCTTCGCTGTGACTAATGGAAGGAAAAAAAAAGGAAAGAGAAGGTAGGAGTTAGACATAAGGAAGAAATAAGAAGTTGGAGAGGGAGAAAGAGATAGAGGGAGGAGTTTGTTGTGTGGACGGTAAAAGAGGATCGGTAATAGGGATTATATAGTATGTTTTTGATTTTTATTCCCGGTTAGTAACATCAGCCGGAACTAAAAATAGGATTTTTATTCCCGGTCGGTGTTACTAACCGGGACTAAAGATCCTAGGGCCCTGATATGGTCTGACATGGAATCAACCGGGACTAAAGATGAACTTTAGTCCCGGTTGGAGTTACCAACCAGGACTAAAGATGATTTTTAGTCCCGGTTGGTAACAACAACAGGGACTAAATATCTTTTTCTTATAAACCGGGACTAAAAATCATTTTTAGTCCCGGTTTTTAATGGAACCGGGACTATTGTGGATTTGGGTCGACCGACCAAAGATGGTTTCTCTACTAGTATATAGTATTCAATAAAATAATAAAAAAAAGAGGCAATAGACCCACCACCAGGCCACCACCTCACCCACATCGGCCTTCTCCACCGCTGCCACCCTCACCGGATCTAGAGAAGGAGAAGGGAAGAGGGCGGATGGAGAGGAGGAGCCCCCCCCCAGAGAGAGGGGGATAGGGCAGACAGAGAGGAGGATGGAAGGCCCTTGGGAGAGAGAGCAGGGGCCGGTGAGCCTCTTGCACCACCGCCGCCACCGCCACCACCACCTCACCCGGCCTTCGTGTCAGACTTCTCCACCACCACCACCGTTGCGGATCTATAGGGGAAGAAGGGGGAAGGTCGGACGGAGAGGAGGAAGGGCCACTCCTGGTCACCGGCCACCACCTCGCCTCCGCGTCGGCCTTCTCCACCACGGCCACTGCCTGATCTCGAGAAGGAGAAGGGGGGAGGCAGACGGATATGTGGGAGGGCCATCGGGAGAGAGAGAGGTGCCGGCGAGCCTCCTCCACCACCACTGCCGCCGCCGCCAGACCTGGAAGAGGAGAAGGGGGGAGGCGGATGCAGAGGAGTGGGAGGGGGGATGCCAGTGGAGAGGAGTATGGGAGAGAGAGAGGATTATGCGGTGGAGGGGATGAGGGTGGGTGCGTGGGGCCCATGCTCAGCTTGGCTCGGGTGCCAAGTTTTTAAAGAACCGACACCTATAGTTTAATATAGGTATCACTTTTTAAAAATCCGATATTGTCGGCTTTATCTATAACCGGCACCTATAACATAAATATATGTTTCCTTTTTAAAAAATGGATATGCACCCATAGTAGGTGCTGGTTTTTATCTATATTAGAAGTGTGAAACGATAATAGGTGTTGATTTTAAATAGACCTGCACTTATGAGCAGGTAACTATGAGGTGTTTTATAGTAGTGAGTGTGCTTCAATAGCAATTTAAACATATTAAATGTATATATGATGTATTTCACATTTTTAAATGTGAAGAATACAACTACAAATTTAGTTCCAAACAAAAGTGTACTAAGTAATTAATTGTTTGGCATCGGAATTACCCCCCGACTATTGTGTGAGTCCGATTTACTCCTGAAACTAGGATACTAACATTACACATCTCTAACATTTGTTATGAGAGGTTGGTCTGACCGATAGCTCATTTGCGGTCTAAAGCACTGCTACTGTGGTCTGACTGATATTAATTAGTCGGGTCGTCTGACCTTAGACTGCGAGTCCAAGTGTAATTTAGTTGTTTTTGTAAAATTAAATGTGTTTTTATTATTATTCTGTTATGAATAATTGGCATTGGAGATTATTGGTTTTGTTATTTGGAATTTATTCATGAAGTGGTTTTGGAGATGATTGGATTTACAAGTGAATTACATGTGCTGTCATTTTATGTGACCGGTCAGACTGGGCTCTAGTAGCCGGTCAGACCGCCGGTATGCGTGTGGTCAGACCGGCCAGCTCGCGGTCTAACCGGCCGATGCTGTGCCGGTTTCGGTTTCGGGTTGTTTGTTTGGATATTCATGATTATTTCATGATTATGACTTCTAGATGGATACTATACATATGTAATACTGTTGTTTGCTACTAATGAGTCAAGTTGGAGATAGCTTGGTCTCGGAATATGGTTTCTTTGTTTATTTCATGTGTAGGTGACTCAATGCCTCGGGAGAGTATTTGCGGTGATGGACCGGGAGTCGGCTTGGGGATAAGACGACGTCCGTGGTGGTCAGAGGTCATGCGGGTTACTTAGGCTAGAGTTGATGCACGTGGTTGATGGAGATTCCATATGGCATACGATGGAGGTATTGTGTGCGTATGGGATGTGGATCGGAGTCGAATTTGGAAGCAGTCCAAATTTGGTATGATTGGTTATGTAAAGTTTGTTTTTTTTACTAGAAGGTTTCCTAAGGTGTTTAAGACTCCTAGTATGAGTTTGGTTCGTGGTTTTAGGCTGCCTACCTCGGGTATAAATAGAGGGGGAGCGTGAGGCTTCCCGGTATCGCTTTTGAGAGCAATCGAGTTGAGTTTTGAGTTAGGGTTTCGAGTTTAGTCGAAATTTTTGTAAGGAGTGCTGTTGGTGCACTTTGTAAACACAGAGAGAATCAATAAAGTCGTCATCTGCTTTAAGAGTTCTTCGATTTGTGTTTACCGGGTTTCGGCGGTCAGACCGGCGGCAAGCGGCGGTTAGACCGGAGGGAGCGAGGCAGTCAGACCGACGGCGCAGGCGTGGTCAGACCGGCAGATCAATCTCGATCAGACCGATCTCCGTCGAATTCGAGGTAACTTTTATTTCCGCTAAAAGTTTTTCGGTTTTTGGGTATACCAACCATTCACCCCTTTTGGTTGGCTTAGTTATTGTGATTCGATCCTACAGTTTTTTTGTATTTTTTTCCTTGGATCAGTGTGTTTTAAGTCCTAATTGATTGCGAAGCCTAATAGGACGTGGTAACGAAAGAGTTTGTTTCTCGCAAGACCAACCTCTGTATGTAAAGGTTATGACCAATTTAATTGATACAATGAATTGTTCCTTTAACTAGGAGTCGTTCAGTAATGTAGATTTTCATTAGTTCCCACTTTCGTTTTTAGAGTGTTTATCCCTAAACTAATGTAAATCGGCTTTGCTAGCTGATTCGATCCATGTCATCATCAAGATCATAAGCTACATCACCCGTGGTTCAAGAGATCAAGATGCCGCTACAACATCTACATCAACAGTGGAGGGTTGGGGCCGGCAGCGTGTTGGAGAAAAAAGACATCAAAAACTGGTTTAGAAGTCAATATTGATGTTGCAGATATATACAGTGGATCAATCCGTAATGCCACCTTTGCTGCTCTTTGTTTTCTAAATTTAAAAGAAAAACAAAAGGTTTGGAACATTCTGTTACCTATGAATACTGCACAGGCAGCAGGCATAATCTTGGAATGTCCAACTTTTGTAAGTAAGGCAAATTAAAGTATATACGATTGAAATTAAAAAGGCAAACGGCTCCAAAACGCCCAGGCAAACGGCTTATATGTCACCAGTTACACTGGCCAGTACCTCTCCTGTCTCATATTACTTTATTTAAAAGCCGTGGGAATGGCTGAGAGTTAGCCATGCCACGTCATTGATTTTTTGTAGAAAACACCTTCCTGCTGTTAATCACGGTTAGGTTTGGGCTAATGTCATCCGCTCGATTGCAGGGTTAAGGTCGATCCGGCCGTTCATGTGGCTGCTCTTCCTGAGCCATAGGATCGGCGGAAGCATATTGGACGGTCTAGATCGTTTTTTAGCAGATGAAGAGACAAAACCCTAGCCACGCTCCTCTCTCACACGCGTGGCCTCGCCCTCCTCTCACGCGCGCCGCCTCACCCTCCTCGGATACTCCTCCGCTCGCTTTGCGCCATCGCCGCCACCGACGCCTTCCTCCCTAAGCCCTCCCCCTCCTCCTCCGCCCCATTCCTCCTCCTCCTCTCCCCGTCCACGCCGCGCCTCCACATCCGCTCCACCCGCCGCCTCTCACTCGCGCAGCTCGCTGCATCCGACTCCTTCCAATCCTCTTCATCCTCCGCCGCCGCGCTTGACTTCGCTGAGCCCGGCGCCGCCGACGAGTCCGATGTGCCGGAGGAGTCTGACCAGGAGGAGGGGTACGCGCCGGAGGCCGAGGAGGCGGCGGATGAGATGATGATGAGGAGGAGGAAGCCGTCGAGGCCTCCGCGGAAGTTGCGGAGGAGCCTAAGGACGTAGAGGAGGTCAGCGAGTACGTGGAGCCGCCTGCGGAGGCCAAGGTATACGTCGGGAACCTACCCTACAACATCGACAGCGAGCGCCTCGCCCAACTCTTCGAACAGGAAGGCGTCGTCGAGGTCTCCGAGGTGCGACCCTCTCCATTCTCCGCTCTCTTTCAATTGCAAAACTAAATTGACCCACACAAAGGTTGCAGCCGGTGGACTCCTGTGCAAAACTGCAAATGCACTACTTTTATTTTTCATTTACCTGCTTGGTCACTTGCTCTGTTGAAACTTGTGTGTGCAATATGCGCTTCATATTCTGTACGTAGTTCCAATGGAGGATGCATTGCATGCTGCCACAAAGAAAAACTGAGCAAATTCAGCTTAATTTCAGTTATTATATATCATTTTAATTTCCATATCATGCTATCATGGTTCTTATAATTTTTTATTTTACTAATTATCATACTTTCTTACCTCGATGCGATGTTTGTTTCGTTTCTGCAGGTCAATCAGTGACTAAATGGACGCAGTTTTATATTGACCCCTCATCATCCCAGAAATAGCATACAATCTAGATGATATTGTTGGCTTGGATAAGTTAATTAAGTTTGTCAGTATTTAAATAGCTAAATGGTTCATCCCTCTGTCTGAACAAATTTATAAATTCTATGGTTCTTTTTTTTCCTTGCCAAGTAATGCAAATCAACAATGACTTCAATGCCTTATCTTTTTATGATGATCATTTTCTACTTATTTGATGCCCCTCTTATATTTTGATTATGCTGTTGATTTCCAGCAGACAAGCTTCATGCTCTGTCACTAACGGCGAGGACAGATGATTGTCCCGTAATGCTTGAGGTAATCATAGGATATCATTGTGCTATTCTTTTAACTGTCATTCTGAAGCAAGCTCAGAATTCTGTGAATCATATTGTAGCACCTAGAATAGTCTAACACAATAAATTTCAAATTAAGGTACATCTAACCAAAAAATATTATGTTTTGCTTAATTCAATATATATTTGATGTTATCCAAAGCTTCACTAGACCAATACTATATTTTAATGTTGTTTTTAACTAAGTCAGTTCAAGTCCTGTGCAATAATCTATTATTCTTTCTTCTATCACCATTTTCTTCATCTGCTGCTAATCTTTAGTGCCACAATTGATTCTGGAGCTTAGTTTTCTTTCTAGGGTGTTTAAATGCTAAACACATCCAAGTGACCCCAAAGGATCAATGCATGGATTACCCATATGAACTTCTACCCCTAACAAATAGCATCCTTAACAAATGGATTATCCTATGCACACAGGCCCTCGCGTGTACACACCGTGTACACCAACTAAAAATTATCACAAAAAATTCTAGGAAAATTCATACATGTACTTTCAATAGTATTACATCTACGTGCAAAGTCGCATCTTCAAATTCATTCTACATAGAGAATAACAAAAAAGATAAAATTCTGACAAAATTGCAACCTTAAAACTGTCAGATTTTTTGTTTTTTTTGTTACGGCTAAAATATAATGAATTTGACGTTAAGATTTTAACCCTAGGTGTAATACAATTGAAAGTATGTGTATGATTTTTTCTAGATTTTTTTGTGACATTTTTTAGTTGGTGTGCACGTGTGTGCACGTGAGGGCCTGTGTGCATAGGATATGTTGCCTAGTTAAATTGTATGCATCTCACCTATATTGTCTCTCATTTTTCCCTTTTATAAGACAACTTCCTGTTTTGATCGTTCTTATTAATCTGAACGAAAACAGTTCATTACAAAAACGATGACAAGCTTTTAAATATATGCTACATACAAACTCATAATCACACCTATCCATTTGTATGCATCTCACATATATTCTCTCCTTTTTCCCTTTTATAAGACAATGACAATATTGTTGTTACATGTTGATCTAGAAAACTCAATCTGTTGTTTATTTTACTTCCTGTCAGATTGTGTTTTCACGATCGATGAAATTTTCATGGTTTGATTCCCTTTATGATCATGCTTACCTATGTACTACTAATCTCAAGGTGAGCACAAAAAACCCGTTTTGTTGTGTCCACCATATACCAGTTTGTATGCAGATTCCAGACTTTCAGTCTAGAATTTGTATATCCTTTTGAACAGGTAAGCATAATCCATGATTTGATGATTATTTCAAATTTATTACTGATTTTTTATTTACCTAGCTCTAGCTTACGTTTTTTTTAATGGTTTACAGCTAACAATCTAACTGTCTTTGTAACTCTATATATTGCTGAACATTTAGTGTAACCCAGCTTTCCCATATGCATCGATTTGGAAAAAAAAAGTTGCTCACTTAGGATCTTCAAAAATTTATATGTTACATATTATTTTCAACTAACAATTATTTGTAGATAACCTTGGCTTATTGATTGCTTTTACAACATTTTACCTCCTGGGAATGTAAAATTAGAAATGGCATGCTTCTTTGTTACCTTCTCCTATGATCATGTTCAGCTGATTTGCTGCCCTCCTCCCTTTTCCCCTTCTACTTTGAATAGCTGAAACTCAAGCTCTCTTCGACTAACAATGAAGACAGATAATTGACCTATGCTTAAGATAATCATATACTATCATCACCATGCTGTTGTATTTGGCTAAAATACCAGGAACAAGCTCCATAGCTTATTGAATTATATTGTGATAACTACATTAGTCTGTAAGTCAAGACATAATTCCAAGATATGATGCATCTAGCCAAAAATTATTTGAATATAGTTGCAGCCTCTTATTCTTATGCACGCGCGCAGCGTAGCGCGCGATTATTGCTAGTTACTCTGAAACGCAAATGGGAAGTGAATGTGTTGGTGGGGGTCAGCATGAGAAGATAACACTGTTTAATTTATTGTATATTTTTGTTGCTTAATTGAATGAGTGCTTGGAGCACTCACTAAAACCAGCAGCAACATGCATGCTGATTTGGTAGCAATAATTATGATAGCGGTTTTCAACTGAATTCCTGGATTCCAGCAGTTTGTCATTTGACAGTGCTAGTAAAATTTTCAGTGGCATGTCGTATGTTTTCCTTCACTCCATTTATTCCAGGGATCTCTATCTGGACATTTGTACGTGCAAATAAAGAGGCAAAACAGGTCTACTGCAATTGACGAGCGTATGTGCTGCATGGAAATTTAGAAACAAATATGTGCAGCAATTGCTTTGATAACTACAATCTGATCTTGGTCCCGCAGTTTCCACAGAAAAAATGGGATAACTTAAATCCTTATCTGCTTTTATATGGAAGTTGATTCCTTCTCTTAATTATTTACCTCTCTTATTATTGTTATGAAACCGGCGGCACATGAGAAGATCTAACCCGGTTACCCACTAATTAGCCCATTGCTAAATATGGATTCTATCTATTGTTATGCCTAAAAGTAGAGGGGAGGTTGAATTAGTGAATGAGAAAGAAGTGACACCCTCATATCTTGTATCTCTTTTTAGATATTATACAACCCCTCTGAACTACACGTGTACATTGGTTGCATAATAATTATCTCAATGATATATATGTGCATCACGCGTGAATATGTCATATGCTTTGATAAAGTAAGAAATAATGCTCCTTTCATCCAAAAGCATATTTCTTTTGTCACTAAAACTACAGAGGAATTAACAAATCGACCATGTAACAAAACTAAGAAATCATATTTATACATGCAATCACTGAGTAATAAGATATCTCTCTTTGAGTTAAAAAAATTAATTTAGCACGGCTTATACTTTTTGAAAATCAGAAAATGAAATATGTCTTAGGCTGTTGGATGGAGGGAGTATATTTATAAAGCTGTAGTAATTAAGAATTTTACAGGAAATCAACTGACATGAAAACAACGTACATTAAAAAAAAGGTGTCTTGCTCACTCCTCACTCTAGGCATGTTGTTACTTGTTTCTATGTGCTTTAGTTAGTTCATATCAGTTATTAGTTCTGAATGATATGCTACTTCAAAAAGAAGAACAATTAACGACCTCCAACCATCCATCCATCCATGCATCAGTGCATGCATGTTGGTCTTTAGTGGTCAACAACAACCTTCTAGCTTGCTGATTTTATTATATGATAAACTGTTGCTCTGGGTGCTGCATGCTTAACCATAACATAAACAAATTCAGTGCCACTTTGCACATACTGCCAGACCTTTTTTTAGAACAATTAATGAAAGAGGTTAGTGCAAGAAGGAAAGCAAGGTAGCTAGTAGTTAATTCCAGTTGAATAAAGAGGTGTCATCTATTAATTGGTTCATGCATGCTGCCGTGAGAAGGGAGGACAGGAAATTCGGTTTGTAAAAGTTAGTCTAGCAAGTAGCAATTGCCCACAAATATAAGTACAATAATATGGCTTCCTTCGTGGCAGTAGCTGTGAGAGTATATACTGATTGGCTCAACATGTGTACCATGCTTTAATTTGCTATAGTCATATCCCACCGAGAGTGTGTGCCTCACGATCAAATTGTGTACGTACGTTGTATATATAACTTTTCATATTTATGTACATCTGGTTTGGGAATATGCCAGTCATGTGTAACAGTTTCTTCCATCGGATCTAATGACACTTTGGAGCCAGTCTTCACTCGTGCTTATTCATATATTTATATTTTTTTTATTCAACTGAAGTGGCCGTCCACTTGGAACTTGCACTTAGAGCAAGTTTAATAATATAGCCAACTACTAGCTAGCTCCAAAAATTAACACATCATTCATTTATAGCTAACTTAGTATATAGCCTACTAATACAATAGTTAATTATAGATACATACTACACCAATAATGCTTTCCCCATATTTCTCTCTCACATAGGTTATCAGAGTTTGTGCTATAGTTGATTATAAATCTGTAGCCCACTTTTACTCTCTCCTTCACACACTACTGGAGAACTAATCTTTAATTAGCTCGGATGCCAAAAACATATTTGTCCCGGTTCGAATAGGAACCGAGACTAAAGATTATATTTAGCCACGGTTCGATAGCTGTCAGGCCATGTCAGACCCCCAACAATCATTAGTCACGGTTGGCAAGGTGTTACCAACTGAGACTAAAAATTGATCTTTAGTTCCGGTTAGAGACACCAACCCAGATTAAAGATAATTTTAGTCCTGGTTGGTGTTACCAACCTGGACTAAAGATGCCTCCACGGTTAAAAAAGCATCTCTATCCAAGTTAGATGTGTGTAGTAGTGGGGGTGGTAACGCGCGTGAGGGTGTTCACGGCTATTAAATGCCAATTCTATGCCGCCAATACCTGCATAAAACATAGTTAATTAAACATCCAACATAATGATAGGATTTAATTCTAACATATTCAACGAATGTTGGTGCATATTTGGATGCAGGTACTAAACCGTCAAAGTTGGGAGGAAATTTAGACTAAAGTGAAGAAGAACATTAGAAAATGGGCCCAATTACCGAGAAATGGATAAGGCAGAGCGAGGAGGAGGCCCAGACCAAATCTAGGAGCCATCTGGCCCAGCCCAGGTTCGGTCAAACCCTTGGTTCGGCCGAACCTTGGTGATCGCCATTGGATCCAGGTTTTGGTATGGACGCTCCAGATGCTCTCCTGATGGCGGTTGCGAGGCAATTCGAACAATTCCCATAGTTATAACCGCCATTACCTGCCTATAAATAGAGCTCCCATTCTCACTTCACTCACACACTCCAAGCTTGAGCTGAATTATAAGAGACTCTATTGTACTTTATTGTATACTAGAATTAGGGAGAGAGTAGAGTAGAAAAAGTCGGAGGAATTCCAAAGTTGTCAGTAATCCTCTCTTATTTCGAAACTCGAGTTAAATTTTAACTCATGGTGATGTGGACGAATCTCGGACGTCCATTTCTCGATCCAACTGTAGTTTCCAAGTTTCGACTACATATGTAGTTTGCACTGTATATTTTCCCTAATTACTCTGCTTTAATAGAATTATCATTCTGAGAAATTAAGATTTGCTCGGTGAGAATTAACTCTTGGTTAGTTCCTAATTAGCATGCGGTATCATTGATCACTATAGTTCAATAAAATATAGTGGCTGCTTTAGTGTTTAGCTAGCTCTAAAATAGTTATTAATTGCGTTGACGTGGTGTCCAGGTAATTAATTGTCGGTGGTTGTTTCGTATCCCACGGTAGGTTTGAGGTGGGTGTAGAGGTAGTGATAGCCCTCAATTACACTGAAGTTCTCCCTGTCCGGGTATGCAGTAGAGCGATATTTGAGAGCAGCGGGCTGGCCAATACCTGAAGTATCGCGTTAGGATTAAACTGAGTTTTACGTATATGTTGTTTTTCGCTAGGAAATCCTCTCTACCATTTTCCTACATGTGCTTCTCCCTTGGATGAACCTAAAGAGTATCTGAATACACACGTTGCCTGAGGAAATTGATACCTTGGAATACTCCCGGGTGAAGTGCTACATCGGTATCTTCCGTGCGCTTGCAGATTTTATCTGTGACATTAAGAAATACCAACAGAGGGCTGAGGTTTGAGATCTCGAGTTCAAATCCCACATCCCAGACATTTTTTTTGACTTGGTATGCATCTTTACTCCCGGTTATTTCAACCGGGACTAAAGATGGGCATCTTTAATCCTGGATTGTGTGTCCCGTTTGCACAACCAGGAGTAAAAACGATTGCAAAGCGGGACTGAAGTCCCTTTCTTCAGCAGTGACATGAGCAAAAATACGATGTGACAACATGTATAGCCCACTTATATCATCCTATTATACGCGCTCTTAATTTACTAGTAATAAAGAATCAATATGTTGTATGCATCTAACATTTCGTTTAATCCCCTTTCATGCCCTAGTTCCAGATTTGAGGAATCAACACTATGACAAAAACCTCCATTTGTAGAGGCATTTTGTATATTGCATCTAAAATCTGGAGTTTTAAAGTGTGGAGACACATTTTATAATTATTTAAAAATTTACAAGAAAACTTTTACTCTAAAGACACTCAACATTTTTAGTATATTTAGTTAAATTTTATCTTGTAGAGATATTATTTTGGCACAATAAAATATGTATGGCATGTAAAGGTATTTTCTTAAGCCATTTTAATCTACACTTGTTAGAATAACAATGTATGCCAAGAGACTAGATATAATAAATTAAACAAGTCACAAACGTACAACTAATAATATGAGGTTGAGTTAGTGCATTGAAGACGATACGGTTTGCCAAAGGATTTCTGAGCTCAAGGATTGTTAATAGCAAGAAAATTATTTCATTCTTTTTTATACATTGGTTAGATATTGGTTTCACAGCTAAAACGAATTGTCATATATATAAGAAAACAAAATAGAAATTAGAGGGCATGCATGTAGGGGGATGATAAAAAACTACTCAAGGATATAGTGGGGATCGAGTGAGAACTGAGAACTCAAGAGTGTAGATATAATTTTTTTTGTTACTAATGTACTTACTCTGTCTCAAAGTATATGCATTTTTAGCATAGTGTCAAGTTAAATATTTTTAACTTTGACTATTAATAGAAAAAATAAAAAAAAGATTAATCATGTAAAATTAATATTATTATATTTATCATTAAAAAAACTAACATAATATGCAACTCTTTTTATTTAAAATATCTTACTTTTATAAATATTATTGATCAAAGTAGCATCTCGAAGACTATGTCGAAGAAAAAAATGCTTATATTTTAGGACAGAGGGAGTAGGTTTTATTGATGGGATTGAAGATATAATTAAGCAAGTGATCGAATATTTGGACGATAAAAAATTATTCCATAAAGAATTTATGGAAGATATATTGACGTGACGGCAAAGTGTTGAAGCAGCATTTGTGGGAGTTGTCTATTTTGCCCCATGCATATGCTAATCCAATCCAGTGGCTAGCTGTTATAGTTGTTGTGAGCCAGGCCAGACATCAACTTCAGGTGTTATGGTCAAACATGCACGTCTATCTCCATGGAGCCAAACCTTCCA